GGTGGTTAAATCAGTGAGGACGTTACTTCGCGTATCAGAAAGGTCTATGTGGCTTTCCATAGACACAGGCTGTCAGTAAAAGGTAGGGTGGAGAACGCTGCGGGATGACCGGTATTACTGGATGGATCAGAGACCTGGCCAGTTCGCAGCGAGGACATTAAACGTTTGGTCGAGTTTGACCATCGGTGCTTAGGAAGTATTGCTCACGTCTGGTGTGAACACCAGGTGAGCACGGCTGAGGTCCGCAAGTTGGCTTTACGTAACATACCTTCTGGTGTCTTAATCGAATGTTTGCTGAATCTTAATAGCTTACCTTGGCTACGCCGTATCCTACGCGTGCCCGTTGACCGGCTTCCTCGGCGTGTACTATAGGCCGTGGCTTCACCAATTTGGGCGACTCCGCGAGGTGGCCACTCCGTGGCGTGACCTGGAGGCAACGGGAACTTGACTGAGAGACTTGGTAAGGCTGATGCGTGTCGTCTTCATGAAGGGGAGCAACGGGATGGACAACACCAATCGTTGGTGACCTTATCGGACATGGCCCATTCACACAGTCAGCGGCTTTCGTGCATTCGGTCTCTTGCATCCAATTGTTAATTTTCGTTCCATTCTGATTAGTTTAATGCACCTCATATTTGCTTCCATTTTTTACATTCTATTTGCATTCAACCTACTATCTTGCTGTTGTTATCTAAGGTTACTCTTGCGATGTGAGCCATGGCAACTGAATCCACCGCACATCCGTGCATTTATTGGATGTTGTAGGTCTGGACTATGTGGCGGTTGCGCAATCTATACGAATCTTTGCGCGCTTCATCAGTACATATTCCCCCACATAAGTGCCTCCAGGTCTTCGTTTTTATACTTGGGCAACTGAATAGTAGTCTTCTACTCCTCGGATGCGTGTCCATGCATCCCGGCTCCAAATCAGCAGAAACTAATGCATTGCGAGATCCGTTCTGCTGCATAGCTCATCAAGCAGCCAATTACAAAATGACAGCTGGAGATTTCGACATGCCGGACACCTCGTGCACCTCATGCCACGTACACACCACCAGATACGCCAATCCGATTTCATTCCTAAAATAAATACGGATGGACACAGCATATTACAAATCCCACCAGAAAGAATAACATATTAGATTTGATAATCATCTAATACGAGATCCTGCTGATGTACTGGAACACTTTCCGGGCAATGACCACAGGGTGTTCTCTATCTTATTCACAAATAACGCTCGACTCCCATAAAAGAACGAGCCCAAGCTATAAATGCTTTCAAGACAATGGGGATCAGTTGATTGGGACTCGTTTACCAATTTACCCGGGCATGTGCAGTGGGGAATTTTACTTGCTCACCGACGACCAGCAAACTGCAGCTGATCTAAATAACAAAAACAATCTTTGTTTCGCCTCACTGGCTCCGATTAAACATATACGCTTACCCTGAAGTCGCGAAAAGGCATTTTCACGGAACACAGCTGTCAAATTCAAAAAAAACTAATTACACATACCGCAAAACGAATAGCTTATCATTCATTATGCAAAACCATAATTTGGTCACATCGCTGAAGCTCGCTTATCACATGAAACAAACCGCTGATGAAAAGCGGGGTCTCGACAGCCGATTCCAAAACCGCGAAATGATCAGTCTTGTAAATCGTAGAAATACCAAGCGTATGCAAGGCATACTCTAACTCGTAGAACCAGATGGCTGCAACATAATAGACATTTCAAATATGCGTAATTTTTAAGCAGCATTATTGCGCCTCCTTCAACATGGATACCGAATTCACCAGTTTCGATTGACCAGCTCACCTGTATCAGAATTGAGATCCACGATTGGTTGTCTGATTGTTCGCTGAGCTCGGCAGGATGACTGTAAACGTTTCGTCACCAATCGAGGTGACATCGTCAGCGTGCGTGTATTTAGCAGAGTGGCGCGTACGTAGCGTCAGTGAGTGTGAGTGATTGATCTCCTAGCCGCTAGTCTGAGTTTGGATTGTTAGACGACCAAATGACCATAGAAATCGATCTCTGATTCTCACCTCGTAGTGTACGCGCGTGCGACTCTTCGCTTGTCGTCGTTTGATGCAGCAGTCTAGCGCTCTGTTCCGTTAGATTTCTTCTACTAATTCGGGGATCTTTCATCCGTAGTGCTGTATATATAGCATCTATTTCAACGTGTCGGTTTATTGAACCGTCGGTAGAATATAATGCTTCCAAGAATTCTCTAGCTTGCCTCGAATTTCCACGGGCTAGGATCTTAACGTTCTCTAGGTCGAAGTGGTGGCCATCTTGGTCTTCATGTATGGAAACTAATGAATGCTAAATACACGCGCACTGACGATGTCACTTCGAGTGGTGACGAAATGTTTGCAGTCAACCTGCGAGCTCAGCGAACAATCAGACAACCAACTGAACAACCTGAGCTATCAACATTTGCTTCTATATCGCAGATCCACGATATACATAAACTTATCAGGTGCACAAAGACTATCATATTTCGGGGGTCCAGACAATATTCTCCTCGTAGTTGTGAATTTGGTCGGAGATAACATCACCTGCTATCTGGTGAGTATTTTCAACCTATCCATGAACACCGGTACCGCACCAGCTCAGCGGAAAAGACCTATAATAGTGCCGTGACATAAATCAGGCTCACTTTTCCAGCATAAAAGTTTCCGCCCAATAAACCAAATAACCATTTTATAAAATTCTGGATTGACATATCAAAGCTAAAAGTGTCGAATTCGTACTGGGAAGAAAGCAAATAAACAACTATCAACAAGGCTTTTTAAATACTCGGTTTTGCATTACGTGCCATCCCGAATTCCCAAAGAATATACTTGGTATGTCGGTTACTATAATTTACCTCGATAAGCACAAGACCATTGATTGGATGTTTCATGAAAATTAATAGTATATGTTCTATGGGATCGATGAACTCCTGCGTTCTTGATGCAGGTCAAAACTTACAAATTGAACGCAGGTAGTATAAATTCAAGAATTCAAGTCTAAGCCTACACATATCATCAGTGATGTGATACAAGGAAATGTCACTCGGACGCTACCGTACTTAATATATGTTAATGATAATATATAGGTTGTAAAATGCGGGACATCATACATTTTGCCGATGACTTTTTATACGGAAGACCCCAATCATGTCAACATTGTCCAGCGCAACCTCTATGCGCTTGATTCTGGTGCTGAAAGTTAAAATGTTGTGCGGCGTCCCACAATTGCGATTCGACTCAGAGTGGCCTGACTCTTGATGGCAAACCAATTAATCTCGTCCTATGATTATGGACCTGGGATTGCGATATGCGTGCTCCCTTGAATTCCGGGAACAAGTAGGATATGCCACCGCGTGCGCAAGACAGGAAATTTGGTTTGTATTCCGGACCTTTTCCCTACATGAATCAATACTTCAATCTTACAAACCAGGTGTTCAACCCACGTTGGAATATTGTTTGAGGTTTATAGCAGCTAAAGAAACGCGACCGCATTGTACTGGAACAAGCACAGAGAGCATTCACATGCGTATCCTAAGTGCTTCATCAAAATTGGAATATTCTAAAGGATGTGGGGGAAGTACAAACTCCACCCGCTCTGGCAACGGCGCATAACTTAGTCAGATTTTTTTCAACGTATTGCACAGAAATACACATGTTTTCACCAACTTCAGTGATTATGAAACGATATTGATTAGCCAACAAGCCAGCTTCAAACACTATTCATCCAGTTGCCCATGAAATGGTATAATCCAACAGAAATAAGTATCACGTAACTCGCGAAATGAATAATGTGACTAAAGTGGGAACCCTACCAACTACTTGGTAAGCTACTCTAGCTCACATGCCTACCGACCTATTTATTAGGCAATTAGAAGGATGCACGTTGCGAACTCACTGTGGATGAGCAAAGCAGACGCCTGCACCATCTGAGGAATGCCCGCTTACCGGTTATCCTACAAAATTTCCCATATCGGGGCCAGGGAGAACCAGGGCAAGAGACCAACGGATGCTCAATGCAAAAGAGATCCTTTGAGTTTGGGGCTGAGATAAATTCACCATGAAATTCGCAAGATGGATAAGACGATGTAACTCTGGACTCCTATCACATATTAGTTTACCCACTCGATGTCCCATGGTTACATGCCAACCGACGTATCCATTATGTGATTAGTAAAACGCATGTAGGGATCTCAGTCTGGATGACAAAAGCAGACGCCTGCACTATCTGATGAATGCCCGCTTACCGACTATCCCTCATCTGATCTCATATGGATGTTGCCATGGATTCACTTCACCACCCACTGTGAAAACCGTTCACTCACACTGTGCAACCCTATCAGACACCCACTCACCGCAGCTTTGGATCATCTTCCAGGTTCCCCCCATCCCAGCACCACTGTTTGATTGAGCCAAGCCATCCCAAGAGCCCAGCCCATCGCGTTCCCCTTCATACACTGTATAGCGAACCAATGAGCCAAAAGGTTAGCGGACCTAATAAAAAAAGTCGTAGTTCGATCGTGGACTCTGTATTGTGTGACTCTTTCTGTATGCTAAAAAGTAGTTTGCATTCCTTTTGGGCATTGTGAAGACCGGTTGTGCCAAAACTGAACGGGTATTGTCGATTAAGGTAGTCAAGTTCTCGGCTTCATTTCTTGATCAAACCCGGGAGGTTTTACGTGTTACTCGAGCTCCAAGCTAATTTCCGAGTACAGGCGATAGTTCGAAAATTGGGTAGATGTTGGCAAGTTACACAGCAGATTCCTCGGTACTGTGTGGTTGGTTGAAAATGCAGTCGAAACTGTTTTCTTGTACAACACAAACACACACAAGTCAAAGGAGGTTAGTGATGGGTACAAGGTTAAATGATGTACATAGATACAAATGCTTCAACAGTTGCAGGGGGTGACAAATTCAAAGTGACAGTGTGTTCCACAGCGAAAAAATGCAGGCATATTCAATGGGTCTGTTGTTCTAATCCTGTCAATGCATACCTGAAAAGAGCGAATAGCACATAAATGTCGTATTTCCGCTTGGGTCCATTCACACTCAGAGACCAAAGTATTGACAAACAGCATTTAAGGAACACTTTACGTAATAGAAGCCATCGCCACATTATGAGAAGATCTGTTGCTGCTTCTCCTGAATTAACTACCTATGTGCAAATGTGTTATGAGTTGAAGCTGTCCAACTGCAATAACAGAGCAGAAAGAATTCATGAATGTGACGAATGTTTGTACGTTATTGTAGTAATAACTATTATTGCTGCTATACTAATGAAAAAAATGTAGTTTCGGCTGCGCGGTGCGTCTGGCTTCTGCTTCCGGAAGTGAGCGTACGCCGAATTCTCATCAACGAATGGGTCATTTCTGATAAACTTACTTTAAAATCGGATGCACAGTTCAACGTTGTCTATGCTTGACTGAAAAGTCGTTTGTGCTGTTTAAGTTACAAGGTGCTCCAACTACGACTGGTATGAAAATAAGAAATTAGTGCGAAGTAGTGTTGTGAAAATCGCAGAGGTGGGCGGTTCCTTACCTACTGCAATCGCGACAAATCAGTAGAAGACACGGAAAAGCTCTAAGTGGACCTCTAGCTGTCCGCACAAGTAATAACAGCACGGAGGAGAATTTTCTGAGGAGTCATCGGTCTTGCGTGATAAACACCTATCTTTATCGCTGGGATGGTCTTAAACGGCTTATGAGGATTCCAGTCTTCCCCTCACCCTAGATGTGGTAACAAGTGTCCGCAGATCGGTAGCGTCTACCTGGATTGCTTGAATCCGACCCAACAACCACATGAGGAATAAAGCAGCTGACATCGCTCAACGGCTGTAGGTCAGTGCAAATACAGCCGCTCTCTCCTTGGGATGCACAGAAATGCGATGTGGACTGGTAATGCTGGCTCCACTGCCTCAGTTAACGCTGTGTGGTGTCATCTGAAGCTACTTGTGATCATTGTTGCTGGGTAGATGGCCGTGAGAGCAAACAGGACGATTGGCTTAGTACCAACAGCGCTACCATCGACACGATGGCATGAAACAAGAAGTATGCAGGAACCGTTGCCTGTGAGGGGCAATCGGGGAAGGGATCCAACGCACGTCGTTTGCGTTAATTTTAACGAATGGAACACTAATCAGTTGAGTCAAACTATAATGCACATAGAGATTCTGATAAAATCAGGATCGGAACATATCCCTAAGCACTTCCAGTCATCCGCATCATGTTTCCTTTGGTCTCCAGCCGGAAAGACGAATAGAGCCAATGTTGACCAAACCTGAAGTCAGCGACTTTTATGTTTGTTCAACAAGCGGATCTCTGACCACCACCAATTCTCGGAGAGAGATAATCGGTGCATATCGTCCACGCGAATTCAATAAGATAGGGTTGCATATACATTAAGAACACTTTAAGGAGGCAATGTCACATAAAGAAAAAGTGTGGATCTGCACCCAGTCTATGTGACGGTGTCTCTCCCGGACTGGTTCCATCACATGACGCTGGAGAAGCCATAGTACAGCCTTACGCAAGCAAGCACCTTTCCAACGTTTACATCGCTGGCGCGTGTGCCAAAGAGCAGTGGGCGCCAGATCACAGAAATATTACCACGCTCCGTCCCAACAGGCATGCTCTATATAAGGGTGTCGCAAGGCTGTTTGCTTAGTCCAGGTAAAAGGCAAATCTAATGAAGGATAGTGCCCACTGCGATTGACAACGTTGAATTCGGTGAGATACACAGCGGAACACTGAGTTCCTTAGTGTCTCGACCTAGCGATCTAACAGGCTCAATCGTTTTACTTCATGTCGGAAGAATAAAACAAGTAGACGTTGAGGGTAGCAGGACTGAGTACACCGAAGCTACTACATTTTAACTCAGATGGGTGAGTCGGAATAAAACAATGTTTTCAAATATACACTTACCCGAGTGAGCACATTTAATATGCCTTCGCAAACTCTCATTCCAACTAAACGATGCACCACACTGTTCACATTTAAAAGAGCGTTGTTCTGGAATATAAAGGCGGTGGTGGTGGCCAAAAGGCGACCTGTCTAGTGAACCTGTCGACTACCAGATGACCGCCCACCCATTCGGGGCGACGTCCTCGCCGTTTTGTGCCACTTATGCCCTTCGCAAGACGGTGAGTGATTTCGGTCATTTATACAACGCTACGGTAACGAATGTAGTCACCAATGGTTTCTAGGTAGATGACTGCCTGGTATCATTGAGTTCAGTAGAGGAAGCAGCGCAGTTTGCCCACGACATATGTGAACTGCTAGCCAAAGGGGGATTCAGGCTGCGGAAATGGATCTCGAATAAGACGAAGGCCCTAGATTTGATATCCCCTACCGAGTGGGCACGAGCGCCTAAAGAACTCGTTGTTGGCTCACACTGCAATGATCGTACGCTTGGGCTCGAATGGAACGCTGAGACAGATCAGTTTTGGTTCCGATTCAGCGTTCACAACTGCCTGGCAACCCGACGGAGCATCCTGTCAACTATATCATCGATGTTCGATCCCCTCGGATTAGTGTGTCCTTTGCTTCTACCAGCCAAGGTGCTTCTACAGAAATTGTGTAGAAGAGGACTGGGTTGGGATGACCCTCTCCAGCCGTCAGACGAGCAAGAGTGGAAGCAATGGATTAATCACACTTTGTCTATTGGCCAACTATCGGTTCCTCGTTGTGTGCTGCGGAGCATAGAGACCTCTGAGCAACGCGCACAGCTGCACATTTTCAGCGATGCCTCTGAAATTGGGTATGGTGTGGTCGCATATTTACGGCACACCTCTGCGTTGGGTCAGCCTTATTGCTCTCTCTTGCTCGCAAAATCCAGAGTTGCTCCATTGAAGGCAACATCTATACCCCGGTTAGAACTTGGAGCGGCAGTGTTGGCAGCGAAAGTTAATCAGATACTCGCAGATAGTCTGAGTATGAGTCCACGAGATACACGGTATTGGACCGACTCGCAAATCGTGCTGCACTACATCTATAATAAGTCGACAAGATTCAGTACATTTGTCGCTAACCGAATTGCCGCCATACAACAGCTGTCGGAACCGACGCAATGGAACCACGTTCGGTCGAAGGATAACGCAGCAGACTTGACCTCGAGAGGAACCCTGAAGTTAAGCGAATGGAGAGCGTGGGTAGGAGGACCGGATTTTCTCCTACAAACCGACTGCTCCTGGGTACACGGGTATACCCCAACGGAAAGCATGGCAAATGTGGAATTAAAAAAGCCAAGTAGTTCCATAAATGCTACATCAACAAACCCCGCGAACCCACTGCTGACGTATTTTTCGAGTTGGGCCAAATTACTGAAGGCAGTAGCTTGGTTGGTTCGTTTCAAATGCTGGTTACTATCCCGTCACAATGCGCATCGGGTATATGCTAGAGGTCCGCTGTTAGTTTCCGAGATAGAAGATGCCAGGAAAGACATCCTGCGCATGGTGCAACGCGAGACGTTCAGCAACGAACTGACAAACCTTAAAGCGTGCAGCAATCAATCGACCCACCTTAGTCACGCATGGAAAAAACGAAACCCAATCCGTCGCCTGTACCCAACTCTGATCGAGGGAATTATCTGCGTCGGAGGGCGGTTGAACTACACAGACTACGAGGAGAGTTTGAAGCACCCTGCTATCCTTCCCAGTAGGCACCCAGTTGTCGAGGCGCTGGTGCGTCATTTCCACGTCTCAGAAGGCCACGGTGGAGTGCATCACGTGCTAAGTGCGATCCGCACCAAGTACTGGATACTGCATGGGGCTAAAACAGTGAAGCGAGTGGTCGGAAGCTGCATCCGCTGCTGGAAGCGCACAGCCACTCCGTGCCAGCAACAGATGGCACCATTACCCTGTACCAGGGCGGAAATTGGTTGGTTTCCTTTCAAGAATGTGGGTGTGGATTACTTTGGCCCTATTGTTGTAAAGCGAGGAAGGACTGTGGAAAAGCGCTTTGGGTGCATATTCAATTGCCTGCAAACCAGGGCAGTGCACTTGGAAGCAGCCCACGACCTCTCGACTGATGCATTCATTACGGCATTCATCCATTTCGTCGGCAGACGGGGCTGCCCATCAGAAGTATATAGTGACAACGAAACGAATTTCGTCGGGGCGGTTAGGGAATTACGTGATGGTGTTAAAAATGGGATCAAAAACGGATTGACGGAGAGCTATGCCTTCGTGGTGTGCAATGGCATTTCAATCCACCATTTGCAAGTCACAGGGGCGGGGTGTGGGAAAGAATTATCCGCTCTGTAAGGAAAATATTGCACGGCGTATGCAACGAGCAACGCCTTACTGATGACTCCCTAGCCACTGTATTCGTCGAGGTAGAACGGATTCTAAACAATCGCCCGCTAGTTCCACCCACCTCCGATAGCCAAGATGCTCCTCCATTAACCCCGAACAGCCTACTTCTCATACGATGCGAAACCTTGCAGCTACCAGACATCGACATCAGAGACAGGTATACTAAGCGCTGGAAGCAAGTAGCCCACGTAGCCACGGGATTCTGGAAGAGATGGTTAAAAGAATACATAACAACATTACAATCTCGACAGAAGTGGCAGCTTCCGACCAAGTCTGTAGAAAAAGACGAATTAGTGTTGGTGGCTTCCGAGAAACTACCAAGGGGTTGTTGGCCGCTGGGTCGAGTCGTGAGTTGTGAAGCCAGCAATGACGGTTTGGTAAGGACGGTGTACATTAGAACGAACTCAGGTATAGTAAAAAGAGATGTCAGGAAGGTGTGCCGCCTGGAGGGCGATGAATAGCAGCGCTTAAGTCTGGCTTGGAGTGCAGGGTGGTAGTCATGGAAAACGGCTTTCACCCAAGCGCTTCGATGCCCACAGACGCCCACGAACGGCGCTTGGTGGGAGTCATGGAAAACGGCTCCTGCCAAGACGCTCTTGTGTGGTTGTGTTGCTTTCCCTTCTGCTTTTCTAAGGAGCGCTACTGTAGGCAGTTGTAGGACCGAGAGCCAGAGTAGAGTCGGGGACGTACTAGACGTCAATCGCAGAAGAATTTCGGAGGCAGTGTAACGCACTTATTTACCCATGAAATTCTTCTACTCTTCGCTTCGTGGTCTAGTCTGCACAGCTTGGCCGGTCGTTGATGGATATCGACCAGCGTTCACGTGTGCCTCCTTACATTCCCATTGTTAGCGTTGTATGTGTGTCTGTGTGTGCATGCTAATCACCGGCACTGGTTCCGTGCGTGTGCGTCTACCGACGACCTTGGATCTCCAATACTACTCTTCGCCGAACAGGACACGTTCAGCCCGGACATGTCTCGCACCCCTCCCCCATTCACTGGTCGCTTGTCCAAACACCATGTTATGCATGCCATTAATGCTCTCACCCTGTGATTGGACTATTCCTTGATTGGTCAAAACCATTAGTCTTAATGCTCGTACCACTCAGGTGCGGTGATTTGTACCCTTGATTCGTCCGGCGTAGACAACGCCTCCCTCCTATTGTTTACTGACCGTGTTGTCGACTTGCATATACCGGGATACTGAACAATTGAAGTATGTCCCAATTAACAACTGTATATATTTTAATAGTACCGTAGTAATTGTGATCCGTCTTGTTTTGATTTCGGGATCTTTGGCTACGCGTTATTCAACGTTCACGGTGGACGTTACACCGTTCCTTAGCAAACAACGCCAAAGCGCAGGTCGATCAACCGAGCGGAATGCGGCACAGATGTCTATAAATGCAACGACGGTAAGCCCCTGGTAAAGATGGCGATGTTAGAGGATTTGGCAGTGTGTGAATATTTGATCCACATACCTACGGCAAGGACGGAAGCCAGCTTGTTTTTCCCACATACAGCGATTCACGAATAGGGGATAGCCTAAGAAGTAGGATGGATGCCAATAGCTTTGAGACAACCACAATGAGACTACAACCCGGTGATTAGCGCATAAAGTGAGGGAACGTTTCTCGAAAGTTTAGACAATAACCGACTCGCCCCAGGAAGAAGGTACCTTTTCTTCGTGCTAGGTTTTGGAGAACAATGATGTTAGGTGATTAGTGAAAACTGCGCCACCATATCTGAACGGCTCCGGACGAAGTCCGACTAAGTAAGCAGCCTTGAATCGCAAAACTAACTACTGCTTCCCTGGCTTGCCGAACAACCTCCTCGTGGTGCCAGCTGGGTGGTTCGGGATTTTCCCGTTCCAGCAAATGGTTCGGCGGCAGTGTTCCAGGACGTGGTGGGTTTTCGCCTGGCAAGCGTTCTCCCTATAAAAAGCCACATATGTCCATTTAACAACACTGTGACGTGGCGGACGTGACTCGCCACTAAATAAAGTCACTGCCCCTTGCTTCATCCTGGCGAAGCATTGTATTCCAGCAAGTTGATGCTGTAATTTCGGGGAGCATTGGGCCCCTGTTTGGCAAAGGAACAAACGAAAGGCGTATGAACTGATCAATCAGTCACCGGCTCCCAATGGGCGCGATTCCCTGAACTCGCTCCGCTGTCTTGCGGACAGGCTATTCAGCCAAAGGCTCGGGGTGGTGTCCCCTAAGTCAACACCCTACTTCGGCTTGGGCAACCGGGTAGTATTTCGCCCTCTGACGAAACCGTGGACATTGTTGTGTTGTGTTGTGTTTTCTTTTACTATTTCTGTACCTTGTTTTGAGTTCCATGGTTTCCGACGGTGCAATGTCTATTCATAGACTGTTGCAAAAATATATATAAATATATAGTAGGTCAAGTGTAACGACCCAGAGGCATTTGACAATCAGGTTTGTCGCTGCTATTCAATATGTAGATTCATATCTTAGTCAGTGGGAAAAGCAACCTGCGCAGTTGCGCAAGCGGAAATTATGACCAGTTTTATCAGTTCCGTTCAACAATCTCAAGTAAACTACTGCCAAAAAGCTATTCTTACAGAGGCCCGATAGGAACGCTTACATGAATACCACGTGCGAAACGTGCCTTCTGCGAAAGATGAAAATACTAAACACCAAAATAAGACAATATTGTGATTTATGCTTGCTTGTCAAACAGGAAATCCCTTTGACAAGCCGGAGCAGATTCGTGTCACCAGCAGAAGAAAAGCGAGCATTAGCAGCGACGATAACTTATATCTTGATCGAGCTGCTGAGGGTCAGGAAAGACAGTCAGGCCAAATCAGTGTCATGTATCGTACTGCCTGACAGATCCATGACTAGTGAGCCCACCATAATGGGGAAAACCATGAATGAACGCTTTCCACTTTGTTTAATGCCCCAAGCAGCACAGCTAAGATTAGTGCTCCTGCTGATGTTGGTAAACTGAACACATTGCAATTCGATCGCTGTGTCAATCTGGCCCACATGGATCGGCCATGGTTTGCGTCTCATGCTGAACTTGATGGTCTACTAACTTCTCTAATAATGGTTGGTGTTAAGCATAGCTCACTCACACTTGTAACCACACACAAAGTTGGAAATATTCCCGAATTGATGGAAATGTTCGAGTATAGAGCATAGATATAAGAGTGGAACAAAACCAGGCATTGAAAACGACCGCACAATTAGCCACAAACCGATTATTTCGTGAACATTTTAATTAAGCGTGAGAGACAGCGATTTAGCAGTTGCTGAGAGGGAATTTGATAAACTCGGCTCAACATGAGTTTATGCAACAGCGCTCACACCACAGTTGCTAGCTTTCATTTCTAAATAACCTGACAAGCTTCAATGACAATGGCAAAGATGCTATCAATCTTTTTCATTGATATGTAGGTCTTTGGCAGAGTGCGCACACCAGACATTTAGCGGTCAACAAATTACGAGATCAAGACCAGAAATCAGTTCAGGGTTAAGAATTCTTTTCGGTAAACTCTCTTCAGACCCAAACGTTTACGTAACATTGATTGTATGGGGTAACCGTCAAATCGGGCGGGAATTGATTTCTAGGGTGTTAGAACGGACAAGATCGATCACTAAATGCGGCTACAGATGGCAAAAATATGCACCAAAGGAAAGTTAATACACAAGCCTCAGCAGCCTGAAGTAAATAGGGAATTAAATAACCAGTCAGTCGGCCACGGTAGCAGTATCGGCCGTATGAATCATTTATGTTCACATAATTCCGGCTTCAGATGGTGAATGTAAATAGTCTCGGCAATAGAGAAGATTTGCTTTCGGAAGCCTTGCGAGAAGCGTCCAGGTAGTGAGTAGATAACTTTAAAGTCATTTTCAGATGCAGTATGGCCACTTTCGAGGAGGTGCAACATGATTGAGCTGTCTGAGGACCTGATTTCGCCTATGTAAAACCAAGCTGGGATGTGCTCGCGAATCCTTTGGGATAGACGTCTCGTTGTGCTACCCACATATCGTGCACCACGGGAGCCCAAATACTGATAAACGAGCGTTGCACGGGTCGACGATGGCAGACTATATGTCAAGGGTTTGGCAAGCAATGGCTTGTTGTGGTAAACAATTCTCAAGCGGGCTGCGAAATAAGTTTTCTCAACAGCATCTTTCAGACGTCGAGATAAGATATCAGCTGCAGTATCGTCCGTAAATGGCAAAGGGATGAACACCTCTTTCTTGGGAGCAATGCTCCTAGGTGGCTTTCGCTTTCGTTCTTTCAGATGCTTCGGGGTATCGGGGTAACCATTTTCACGAAGGGCGTCGCTGATTCTTTGTAGCTCTTCGTAAACCGAAACCGTTTACCATCCTTGGATGTAGAAGTCATTCGCAAGTGTTGTATGTATTTTCCCTTTCCTTTCTGTATTGCGTCACAGTAGCTGAGGTGTTTCCCACCTCTGGCTAACGTGTATGATGATGATGATGAGTCATACCTGAAGTCAGGGACCTTATAGTGGGTCACCAAACGGACGTCTGACCACCATCAATTATTGCAGAGAGACAGTCGGTGCATGTCGTGCACACGAATTCAACAAGACAGGGTTAAATACAGTAAGGTGTTGCCGGACAGAGAAAAGGAATGAATCTGGATACAGTAGATGTGACGGTGCTTCTCCCGGACTGGCTCTATCATGCGTATTTGGTACAGGAAGAACGAGTGAACCTGCTCAGCACCATTATATATTACACACCAGATCTTGATGGTTGGGACACGTGTTGCATATGTTAGCAAGCCGACTCCCGCGACGTGTGTCTTTTGCACGCCTGAAGTCTGGATGTTAGTGAAGGAGAAGAAGACTAACGATGACTTGATGAAACGGCCTCAGCAATACGCAGTACCGACGTTTCCATGTCGTGCAACCACCACCAGTCGCACGTGGGCTAAGGATAGTGCGAGAGTAGCCCGGTCCTCTACGCAGGTTCGAACCTGCGCTTTCGGATTACAAGGCAAGCTTACAACCCCTAAGTCGAGAGGAATGAAAACCCTCACTTCGGAGTTGGCGGGATGGTGTCCGAAAGACGATGAACACGCTTGGGTGGACAGACTTGCTGATATGGCGAAGAGCTGGCCCCAATGGCGTTTGGATTGCGCGTTTCTTTGTCTACCCCTTCCCATTTAGATTCCCCATCCAATTACAATCTCACACCAAATGAAAAATATGATGTGTAATATTATGGTATTTACATTTTTAACTCCTTTATAGTTTCTGATATTTTTTAATATCGCAGCACATTAGACAGGTGTGTTTCTCATTCTCATCTAGCGTGTATTGATGGTGATGCCCCCTCTAAGTGCTGTTAAAGGAGTGACAGAGACTCCTTCCTTGGCTCACCAACGCAAGCATCCAGTTCAAACACCTGGATAGTTTTTTCTACCTAAGGAGCTGCATTTCTGCCGGCGGCACTATTAGAGAGAAGGAATCTCTTCGTATCGCAGATGTCGGATTGACTTTTGCCAACCCGATGCATTTGTAGCGTAGTCGTGACTATTCGCGATGTTAAAGGGCAGGATGAGTAATTGCTGTTCATACAACTCGTTTGGTGCGTTACCAAACATGAACGCACAGGCGGCAGTCCCCAGCTGTAATACAGTAGAGTTTCACATCAGGTCACAATGAATCGCTAGAGTAGACATAACGGAACTGAGGGACTGGGACCCAAGACTTTAGGGCCGCTCACATTTACACCGCCGAGAACTACGAAGAACGCGCGGTATAACGGCTGAAGAGTCAGCGCAGTTTTGGATGGAGTGACGACTGGGTGAATGGAATGCGGTACACAGGTTCAACTAGTATCCTAAATTACTATGACGTGGATCTCAAGCAGCCTGAACAAACGATCCAACAGCATCATTCGTTTTGTAACACAGTAGTCGACGTGGAAAATGAGTAGTAGTAGTAGTAGCAGTAGTGAGTATCATAACATCGGAAAAGTAGTGCACTGTTTGGTCGAGCAAAGATATGCGATATTGTCGACCAGATTAAAATAATAGAGAAATTGTACAATAAAATGAGACAATAAACTACACGCTCACCAGAATGAACAGATTTGACGTGCTTTCGTAAATTGCTCTTCTCGGTAAACGACTTTGCACAGAGTTCACATGCATGGGGGCGCTCATCTGCGTAATGAAGGAGGTTGCTAGGTGTAGACGAACTAGGCATGGAAAACATCCACAGATAGTCAGTTGTATGTTAGCAGTCAACAGCAACCAAACTATTGATGACGCTGAAATGAGTGAACCAATAAGAGAACCGTCACATAAAGCACAAATCAGACGCGCTCAACGAGGGGTAATTGATAGTGTCATTCGCAATGGGAAGTGTCGTAAACCACTAGAAACAACGACTGTAAGCGGTCAAAATAGTGACAAGATGTACGAAAATAAGCACTTCGATCAAATGTCCCACTTGAAGACCAGGAGTCTACCTGTGAAGGGTGCACAAATCGTCATGTTTGTTTAAGGCATGACTGGGCTTCAGTTGCTGAACGTCCAAACCAACAAAATTCAAACCTGACAACGGTACTTGGTTCACAGATATCCAACGGTTCATTAATATGATATCGGTTGTTAATTGCCGCCTCCAGGATCCTCCGCAAAACATGGTTTAAGTTGTTTAGTATGACGACACCAAATCCGAAGACCAAACCGGACAGTGTATATCACCAAGCCTCGAGGAAGCACCACTTGTCCGGGCATCCAGCTGATGCGACATCACCGTTCAGAAACATCGAATACCACAACTCCTCTACGAAATTCCTAATCCGTACCCGAAACCGTTTTGTGTTGGTTCTATATGACCGTATTCGTAAACGAACGGAAAACTGCATAGAAGTCAACAAATGCAAAATGGTTCTCAACTTTCGACACATGAGGTTTTCAGCTGGGAACTTCCCATCTAGGGCATTAGGATTGGGTAGCTAGATAACAGAAATTTTTCCACCCCACCGGTGCCCCACTACGATTACACTAACGCGCCGCTCGGAGAATCGCAAGCCCTTCCGCTTATCCATTTGGGAGTAACCACAAAGTGTTCGATACCGTTTCGCACAAAATATTCGATAAAATGTAAGAGGTGAACTATGAATAATTATACATCACAAATGTTTCGGATTGACCGTGATGACAAAACATGCAGCTCAACGCGAAGATTGTGCGGTTTGTAGGCGTGCTTCGTAACACGGTAATTACAGGCCACTTGATGTCGGTGTAAACCAGTGCTATATATATATATATATATATATATATATATATATATATATATATATATATCATCGATAACATTTTCGTGTTTGCGTCATTTCCGTAAAATATACTTTCTAACCTCGTGAACTTAACTCGAATTTGTTTCTAGACAACTTGTTTCATAAGCTCATAATTTAAAAGTTTTGTTACGTTTCCTTATGCATTACTCGATTTATTTTCTTTGTTATCTTTCTCTCAAGAGATCGGCTGTTGCTTGATATCCCCGGTATGCTTGCGCCTGATGTGCATGTTGACAAGGTGCCTATCTGTCTACTACCCACTACCTCATCCATCTGGCTCTAGGAGACTGTTGATCATTGCTAGAGGGGACGGGGTGCACGGTTCTTGTGGCCGTGCTAGGATCAAAGAGTGGTTCCATGCACTCAGTGTGGAGTGGACTACGGTCCAGCCACCGCCTTGTGTGCGCTTGATTCCCAAATACAGCGTGCTTGTGTTTGCCTGTGAAGGAGTGTGGGCCGGCTCCGTTGATGAAACGTGGCCCCATCCACATGCCTCCCGGTCTTATTCCTTCGGGTTTTCACTGGATATGGGGCTTGCGATTGGAGCTGTGTGTGGTGCAGCGCAATCCATCCATGATCCCTCTGTAGTCGCAGGCGTGCTGTGGCTGGCCAAAGTGACAGGCAAATCCGAAACCGGATGCCGCCAACCATATAGGCGGCAGAGAATTTGGTATGCTGAGGCTGTTGGTGGCTACATCTTGACAGATGGTCTACCCCCTGCTGCTACCGCTGAGGCATGGGTTCATGTCCTGGACGCCTCCTCATTGCGACCGCTGGGTGGCAGTTGGGTTACGCCCCTCTCCCTGCTATGATCCATGACACCAATCCGCATGAATCAATGAACTGACCATGTAGTAGACTCGCTGCTTTTCGGTTATACATTTAATCGAAGGCTTTGGCTGAGAATCCGAGTCGTTCTCCTGTCAGGATTGGGCGCCCTGCCAGTATCCTAGTCCATCCTCTTCGGAGGTTAGGAAGTGATCGATGGCCCACTTCCCGAAAAACCTAGCCATGGCAAACAATAGGTCTACGGGTTATAAGCTCACAGCTAGATTGGTGTAGAGCACGAGCGCCACGCATTATCTGTGACGGTGGGAGGGCACCACCGGGTGTCCAATGTCATGCTACTGTCCTCCTCAAGCCAGGCAACCCTTGGACAAATTGGTGCAAACCCGCCAAAACTCACCTGCGTCTGGCCGTGGTCGCAGGTGCGTATCCCTCTACGGTAACAAAATATATATGAATCGTTCCAGTACCTCAAAGGCTGCGTGTGACGGCCGTTAAGCAGATCCCAAGCTGTCTCTGAAATCACATTCCCGAGCTGGATCTGCTCCCCACTGACTTGTGGGTCGGATTATTGAGCCAAAGGCTCCAGGTGGAGTCCCTCAAGCAAACCTCCGAAGCACAACAGTCACCGCGTGCGATTGCCCACCAATGCAATCGTATGCCTGCGCACAAAGCACTCATCATCGGGTGCTAAAATGTGCGCACATTACTGGACGGGAACTCGAATGAGCGTCCCGAGCGACGCACTGCACTGGTCGCAATGGAACTGACGCGCTACCACATCGGCATTGCGGCGCTCATTGAAACCCGGCTCGCTGAGCAAGGTAGGTTGCATGAAGCAGTTGCTGGCTACACATTCCACTGGGTGCGCAACCCCGCCTCAGCACCACGTGAACATGGGGTTGGATTAGCAATATCCGATAGCCTCCATGGCCAGCTGGTGGGTGAACCAACGGGCATCAGCCCGCGACTGATAAGTGCTCGCCTACGACTCGAAAGAGGTAAGTTTGCCACCTTTATAAGCACGTACGGTCCTGGTGACACGCGTGATCAACTCCACAATCAGCTATCCTTCGTGATAAGGTGGGTGCCGAGGAGCGACCGAGCATTTCCGCTGGGAGATTTCCAAACGTGCGTTAAGCTGATGCTTGGTGTGTAGAGATGTTAGCGGTGCGCACAGCATTGATTCAGCGAATGCGAACGGTAACAGGGTGTTCTCACTGTGTGCCACTCACGACCTGACGACACTCTGGTTGCAGTGAGCAAAAGTGACACAGAAACTTGGACGCACCCAAGGAGTGGTCACGCTCACCTGCTCGACTACGTCGTCGTACGTCAGCGTGATATGCGTGAAGTGCGCATGACATTATCATTATCATTATTAGTGAAAATTTTATTTTGCTGTCTTTCCGAAACGGGCTTACAAGATCCCAGTACTATGACTGAGTTCAGATCTCCCACCGACCACAGAGCCATAGTTCATCTAAGTTTATGTGGTGATACAGAACCATATGTGGCAGGTTTGGCAGACATCCGTGTAGCACTAAACAGCAAAGTCGAGGACCACATTGCTGCACTGGTTCCAGAATAATAGCCGACTGGGTGCAATTCGGTTTCGGAGACCAAGCAGGAGCAACCGATATCGTGAAGCGAGACGCAACTTGTTTGTGAGCTCAGCTTACGCCCAAGCCGACTGCAGTCCTCATCTGGCCAAAGACGACTTCTACCGTGAACTTCACCAGCACTAGAGCAAAGCTTGCAAATCCGAAACAGTTGTACTTGCTGAAATTTTCAACGTAAGGGTCAGGCGCTTATTATCATGCGAAAGTCACCACGGCATCCACCATGCACTGAACGAGAACCGCTCAGATAATGGGGAGACACAATCGTTTATTTCACTCCAGCACCAGATTCCTGCATTTGAAGAGACGTTCCGCCACGTGGCAATCCGCTTCTGCTCTCAAACATGGTCTCAGATTGATCATATTGCAATCAGTTTCAGATGGCGGGGTAGAGTAAAATATTGCAGACCTACCTCGTCCATATTTGTTGACCCAAACCACGCTCATGTCTTTGCGAACATCTGCATGAGTTTCAAAAGGGTAACGGAAAACGAAGCACTGTAAGATGGATACATAAGAATTATCTACTCCCTCGGTTCAGCTAAGCTATCAAGCTGTGACCCCCCGATAGAAATTGATGAACATTGGACGTTCATACAAAAGACCATGATCTCTTCCTGGCAGTTAGTCAGCAGTCTTAGACAGCACTATATGAGGGCTTGGATCTGGAGGGGATCCCTGGATCTATTTGACCGCCGCGGACTCCAACCATAATGAAGTGCACCGTTGTCAGTCAGCAGCTCAAACACAGGTTAAGCAGTGGCCGTGAAGCATGGCGGTACCAACATGCTTCGGAAATGGAGGCCGCTGCCCACTCTGGCAAATCTCGCAAGCCTTCCCAGCTCATTAGACTTACTGGCTTCGGAAAGCCTGGTGTCAATGAGACTAGTTGCGAAGCCTATGGTTCAGCAAATGCCAACCTACTGAGACCCTTGGATCGATGAGCCGAACAATTTCGTTTCCAGTTAAATGGGCCCTTACCGTCCACTTTTACTCCCTGCGAACCCAACTGCCCGCACGGGGCCACCCGGCTTGACCCACCCAACGAAGAGGAAGTTTGTCTTGTGATTCGACACTTGAGACGATTCAATGCTGTCGGTTTAGACGGATTTCCTACCGGAGCTGTTCGAATACGTGTGCGAAGTTATCCTCCGCCAATTAACCTCCAAAATCTGAATGGAAGAAAAAACTGTCTTCTTCTGGAGGTGAATCAGTTAATGTCCAGAACATTAAGAGGGATGCTCGCACTTCCTACGCCAATCAACAAGGGATTAGTCACATTTCGGTTGCCTGCAAGCCACTGATATCCATTCCACACGGTATACTATCCCCATTCGTGAATCGCAGTACCAGGAAGAGAAAGCTGGCTTCAGGTCTAACCGCGAGTGTGTGGATCAAATACTTACACACAGCCAAAACCTGGAATACTGCTACCGTTACCAGAGAC